GCTCTCGACCGATCTCGTCTCGCTCATATGCATACAAGCGATTGAATGCAAATATTCCAAGTTTCTGTCTTAATTTTGAATTCCGCGTTAATTGTTCCAAAAGTACACCGCCGCGTTGTTTTCCACAATATGACAGCAAATACGCGTCGTAGATCGGCCTAACACGAGAGCAACGAATACTTTCAAATTGTACTTTCTATATAATCTTTCGATAAAAGTATCGACAAAGGTACCACTAAACACAATGCACCTATTCGCACGAATGCTTCAAAAGCCGCGTGAAATTCTACATGATCGATCGCAGAGTCGTTATTATCATCGTTCTTGCGATAGTTTTTTTCCAGAAGAACGCGAACCCTGTCGAACAGAACAATCGTCAGATCGCACGTGGCGAGTTGTCTGTTTGTTGGAGTTTCGCGAAATGCGAAACTGTTTACCGGATTGTGTTTTGGGATTCTACACTCGACAGAGCAACAATCGTACGCGTTCAAATTGTGCAACACGCAAAACAACATATCCAACAAGTGCGTTCGCGGAGACAAGTGATTCCATATGAATTCGAATAAAAATTCGCGCGACAGAAGCATCTTTGGTGTTTTGTCCGGTTGAAGCATCGCTTCGTCGTCTGTTTTGATATAACGGATCGAACCGCGCGCGTCCGATGTCATTTATTCAAGTATCGTTGCGGCGAGGACGGCTGTGTTCAATGACGGATGTCGTCGATGCTGCGATGTTGGAACTTTCGACGATACGAATTAACGTTTCTACAATATCCACGGCTTGGCATTGAAATTCATTCCGATAATATAAGCGAAACACTTCGATAAGTTCGGACAGAGTTCGAATCGTACTCAATTTCAATTTCTCGTCGTCGTCGAAGCAAAATCTCATTGCACCGTTCTGCGCCATTTGTCTCGGAAATTTTCTAGGTTCTCGCCCGAATGCGCTTGGCGGACGATCCACTGGGTACGCCATCTACCAAGAGAATTATTCATCGTATCTTCAGTCATTGGAGATATATAAAAGCGCAGCGGAGCAATAGAGCGTTTGTATTACTTACGGGTGCAGTCGTATAGATACTGTCGTTTAGATACTGTCGTCTCTTCATTATCGCCACCAGAAGATTTATTTCATTCTAGAGCGATAAAAAGAAAAAATGAGCGCAAGCAGAGCTGTGGTACGATGACGACGCAGTTGTAGTGAGAAGAGAACGAGAAGACGACGACGAGAACGGTGGCAAGATAGAGAGAGAGAGAGAGAGAGAGGCGCGGTAAGAGCAATTACAACTAGTACTCGGAAACGGTGCGAGGTTCGTTTTATACATACCTACCATCGCTATTTACGCGTATATTTTTATTACATATAACACTTGTTACGGGAAGATGAACAAACAAATCGAACGGATGTGAAGTTTTGTTGGATTTGAAGCGTTTTATGGTCACTGTTCTATGGAAACGTTAGCTTTCGCCGGATTTTACCATATCGGTTCGAAGGATACAGCGCGCAGTTTTTTCTGCAAGACGATATTGAGCGAATGGTCGTCCGACGATTTACCGTTTGTCGAACACTTGCGTTGGTCGCTCAAATGCCAATACGCTATCAAGATTGCGAATCGCTGCGCTGTGCACGCGGACGATGGCAAGCACGCGACTCAAGTGGCTGACGCGACAAGCGACGACGCTTACAAAAATACGTTACCGACGAAACGATCGATCCTTCCGTTGAAAGAATTCGATCACTGGTCAGGTCGCATGCGAACTTTTGTGTGTTACGGCATCGGTGAAACCGCAGGCCTGGAATGATCGGATCAATTTGAACCCTGTATAGTGGCTAGGCTCGTTGAGCAAAGTTTCGTGAGAGACGGTTGCGATATGGTGTGTTTCAAATGCGGAATGACGTTTGAATTGTGCGATTTTCGAATCAGCGATATAATGAATATTCCCGCGTCCTCGCGTTGTGAGAGAAACGATCGAATGGGATCGATACACTTGAAACTGCTGTTTAGTAATTTTTCTTCTTTCTTCTTTTCGTTTTGGGGTCATTGTCGACGATAATTGCGTCTAGTGAAGAGTTGACGATCGTCACGGTTCATTTTCGCCGTTGTCTCGTTGCCGCGTCGACGGCGATGGCGGAGAAATGTGTTAGCGCTTCATTGGCATTTCATTCGCAAGACTCATCCGCTACAATTCGAAACGATTTTTTTACCAAACCGACGTAAAACGTACCAAGATTGTTTAATTTGTCTTCATGCACTCGATCGAACTCTGTAGTGAGAAGCGCACCTATCGCGAGATTAGAGTCAATTGATTCTTTTATCGCCGTTAGATCGTTTGTCAGTTCGTCGCCGCGTTCGCTGCACAAACATAAATTTTCGGCAAATACCACGATGTAGCCTATTCATTTTAAATTCGTCGGAGTGAAAAATCGTTTGTTCGTATTGTAAATCATTGTCAAAGATTGCGTCGTCTACATAATGTAAATCATGCGATCGAGAGGATTCTCCGACAAGTACGACATCATACCGAACATAATGTGTTCCATTCTCGGCTCGTCGTACGGTTCGCACGCGAGGCGCTATAATTTTTTGTTCATTATGGTATCGAACCATGTGGTGATATCGGCGTCGACGCCGACGAGCTCTACGAAACGTACGCACTCGTCAACGATATAGCGCGGTATTTTACATACCAAGTTCAATAAAGATACTAGCGCGATCAGTGCGGCACGTAAACGTTTGAATTCGCCTCTGTAAGAGGAAAAGCGCTCGTCTTTCACCATCATGTCGTCTTCGTCATATGGGGGAACGATAACATTGGTGCGACAATCTCCTCAATTGTAGACGACGATCAACAACAAAATCACACTGTCAATGAAGAAAATGAAAATTATCCATACGTACCTACGAAATTAACCATGTTCGAAAGTTCCATGGAGTATGTAAAATATTTATGGCCGTTTAAAACATTTGTTTCTTGCGTGTACAGCCGCGGCGCACCGGACGGTGGTGATGTCACGATTCAACGACGCCGTCGCGACACGAAAAACGATGACACTTGCTCATCATCGTCGTTGTCTTTATTGGCGTTGACGATTCGATTCCGAAAGAGACGCGGCGACTCACCACCGTTTGTCGCCGCCGCCGCGGAAGAAGCCGCGGTTGTTTCAACAGGAAAGAAGCGGCGGAAAAAAAGATCGACATCGTCGGTGATAACCGAAAAGCGGCGAAAAAAGTACCAGCGTCCGTCGAACGACGATGTCGTCTCAACAGCATGTCGTCCACCGCCGCTCTTCAGTAGCAGACGAACGTTAGCGATGGAACGTAACATCAGACGCGCGTTACCAAAAATTGCAATTTCGAGCATACGACGATACGACGACAAATCGACCTTCTCGGTTGCGATGACTAGAAAAAATTTGAATTTGTTTCGTTTTGACGTAGAGACGGACGTCGTCAAATCGGACAGAACGGAACCGGATGAGAGTCAATACACCAACACCGCGGCGATAATGCGATTGATTTCCGTCGTAATGCAAGATATTCAGTAGCGCAATCTGAATGCAAAACACAGCGCACTGCATAACAACAATAACAACAATGAAAGCAGCTGCGTAGTTCCATCTGTCGGTAGCCTGGATGATAGAGCCGGTAACAGAGCGGTCGAGAGCGTTCTACGATCGATGGAGAAAAGGAACGAGACCGTTGAAAGTTCGATTCACATTGCTCTGAATAGCAGTTGTTCTCAGAGAAAAATTATAAAAATAGCTTGCAAATTGATCAGAGTTCACGGAGAATCGGACATGGTCTCGGATATCGCCGTCGCGTCGAACGAAGAAACTCTAAAATTTCTTAGAATTTTGTCCGTTACGCGAACGGACGTTATCGCGTATCTCGTTTTCGAATGACGACGTCTCGGAGATATGTTGTGCGAATTATGTCGTATGCCGAAGATGGTGCTCACTTCCGTGAAAACTGCTCTTCTATTGCGAAACACCGCCACCAAATCGACCGTGGTATAAAGCTCGCAACACGCGACAGAGAATCCGACGATCGTCGCTTGTCGTACGTTTCGAATTTGTACTGTATCACGCTTTTCACGCCTCCGATCGTACGTTCGACGAAAGACGTTTCGGTACGCGTTATAGACACATGCTCGCTTTATTGTTTGTTCTGGCTAATGTAAATGCGCGTTTGATTCTGGAAAATCGCGGAAGAAACGCATATCTGTCTCTGAACATGCAGAGTCTCGGTAAGGCGTATCACAATGCGGGCATGCACATCTTTTCGGAAAATAGTATTAAACAGGTGATAAAACTCTCGCACAACGATGATTACAAATATCACACCAATGGTTTGTTGGTCAATCGATCGTTGGATAGGGTTTCGCGCGTGAGCATACACGAGAGTTACAGGGTCTGTCCAGAAAGTAATGTCATTGAGTCGATTAAAAAAAATGTATTGAACTTTTCGTTACAACACATCAAAATTCTTCAAAATAGGCTCCTCCTGCGTTGACACATCGGCTCCAGCAAGTTTTCCAGGCATCGAATGCGCCACGGTAGGCCTCCTCCGTAATGTCCTTTAAAGCTGCAGTGCAAGCTGCTTGGATCCCCTCAATGGTCTCGAAATGCTTTTCTTTCATGGGTCCTTTCAGACGTGGGAACAGAAAGAAGTCGGAGGGAGCGACGTCCGGACAGTACGGAGGCTGGGGAATCGTTGGCACTTCTGCTTTAGCCAGGTAGTTAGTTACGAGGAAGAAGCTGATGGTCGACGCGTTGCCGTGATGCAATTTCCAGTTCTTTGCGATGTCCGGCTGGACGCGTTGAACCCTGCGTTTCAGTCTCTTCAGCACTCCGACGTAAAATTTAGCGTTCACAGTTGTACCAGGTGGTACAAACTCGGGATGGACCAGTATTTTGATATCAAAAAACACAACGAGCATCATCTTGATTTTGGATCTGTTCATTCCGGCTTTCTTGTGGCGAAGGGACGACGACGTGTGCTACTCTGATGATTGTCTTTTCGTCTCCGGGTTGTACTCAAATACCCAAGATTCGTCATCAGTAATGACGTTGTTCAAAAACTCGGGATCACTTTCGCACATATCCAAATTTTCTCGGCACGTTTTAACGCGGCGCAATTTTTGTTCATCGGTGAACACTTTTGGGACCATCTTTGCGCACATCTTCCGCATGTTCAAATTGTTCCTAATGATCTCATGAACAATAGTTTTCGGAATGTCTAATAACTGTGACAGTAAACGGACATTTAATCGTCGGTCTGTGTTCAAAAGTTCTTTCACTCGCGTCACATTGTCGTCCGTGGTGCTCGTCGATGGCCGTCCGGCGCGGGTTTCGTCGTCGACCTCTTCCCGGCCTTCCAAAAAAACCTTGTGCCACCGGAACACTTGCTGATCCGGCAGGACATTTTCTTTAAAAGCTGTCTTGATCATTGGAAGAGTTTCCGCCGCGGTCTTGCCAAGTTTAACGCAAAACTTGATCGCCATCCTTTGTTCTAACGAGCGCTGCATTTTTACTTGCACGAGGTCACAAAACGACTTCCACTGAAAAGCATGTCCTTATTATGCGGCTGGCGGGAGAAAACTGAGTGACTCAACATTCGTTAGCTGACTTCTCCATCTACAATTCTCAATTTATCCGAGAGCGCTCTGACGGTCAGTCGCGTAAAAAAAAATCACTGACATTACTTTCCGGACAAACCCTGTATAACGAGATCGCTCGGAATATTGTCATTTGCTTTCGAAACTCTTGCGGCATTATATCTACCGAAAAGTCCTTCGCACGCAACAGGAGAATAAGGAATTATGTCCTATCCGAGAAACGTTCTAGGACGTTAATCAAGAGGAGAAATGAACGTGTGTCCGTACCAACGGCGACAAAATATAGACACGAAGGATACGCTGACGTGATCGTCGAAGACAGACTCGTCTCACCTTGAGCGCACAAATGTGTAATTGATCGTAATAAAAAAAATTACGATATCGAGATCAGAATGTCTTTGACAAAAGCGGTAAAGTTTCATGAAGATTGCAGTAGAGAAATTCCACTCATGTTGATACCTCACGAAAATGTCGCAGCTCCTCGTAGATCGAAATCACTGACGATCGATATCGACAATAGAGGAACGGCGAAAGAAGAGGAAACGCGCTCTCGCTCATTTTCGCGACGCTCGCAGCATTCGCTGCGAACTCGCTCCAAATCAGCATGTCGGAAAAAACGCCGCCGCCGCGTGATATTAGTAGTGTAAACAAAAAAATAAAAAAATATTCAAAAATGTATAATCCTAAATATTAACAATAACATTTGTTACAAATCAAATGCAAGAAAAAAACGTCGGTCACAATAATGAATTTTTACTTGTAATCGGAAACGTAGAAAGAAATACGGGCATTGCACGGAGCAATCGCCGTTGTATCGCAATTCGTGTTGAATGTGAACAAAAAAAATGTAAGAATATTTTCTCTTCGCAACTGCAAATTGTTTTCTTTAAAGTGTTTCTAGATCCTATCGCGACGAAGAAATATAGAGGACAGTACCGATAGACACCACACTTTGTGTTTGACAGCAGTCGAGAACATTGATTCGAACCATACAAAGTCTTGTGAAGTTCATGGACCAATTTTTTCTTGGAGTTTTCTATTCAGAAGAAAAATATAATGTGAATGGAGTCCCAAAGCAAATTATTGTGCTTTACAGAGTTAATGGTAATTTATTCGAGCGCGCGTCTTTTTCAACACGTCGATCGTAGGTCGCAACCGCTGTTCACAAATTGCAACGGTGGCACGCATGCTTTTTGAACGACGATATCGAGAATGAGTTTCACGTCGCTAAACGGTAACCAATTCCAAATTTTTTCGTTCATATGTGACGTGGCCAAGCGAACGTGTTCATTTTCGTCGATTCTTTCGGCACTGGCGAAATTTTCGAAATGACGAGAAAGATACCGGGCGCAATCCCATCCGGGAGTAGTCAATTCGTTCGCCTTGAACAAATCGAGTGAGCGAATCGTGATTGTTCGCTGTTCACATTTGGAATTTCACATCACAAATTCACAGGAGGGTGGTGACATTTGACGTAATCGTGAAGCATCGTGTCGATCATTCTGCTTGTCGTATCGGATCGCTGAGATTTTTTTCTCGAAACAATCGTATCCGCTGAGACATTTTTCTCGAAACAATCGAAATCTATCAATGTGTTTTTGCAATCTCTTCAACACAACGTTAAATTTTTTCACATCTTGACAGAAATCGCTCGCTTCCATGTCGACGATGAAAAGTTTTTGTAAGAAAAACGACACAAATTAATTTTGGATAAAGAGAACCTTAATTTCAAATTTACCTTCTGTTTTATGGACATGTTGCATCTGCGCAAACGATTCGGTCCGCGGCGAACTTTTTGCTCGTAATCCGAATAATATCGTATTTGGTGCTTGACAAGATTCCTAGCGAGTCAGAGGTAGAATCCACCCGGATCCTCTGCCGCCAAGGATCCCATTCCACGAGGATCTTATCGGTGGAAAGAGCGGATTATATATTCCTCACAGCGTACAGCGGGTGGAAGCAGCGCGAAGATTGGCCGAAGCGTCGGGGCACGGCGGCAATTCCGGTAGGCTCGTTGCACGCGAGACGCGTTCCGTGGAAACAACAACGTTATCGGGGGGAGGGTGTTTGCACATTTCGCGCGCGTGCGTCGTGATGACGAAGGAGGGGAAAATTAAATGGGTCGTTAATCGATGCGCGGGACGTAGCACAAAATGGGGTCTACCGAAATTGAGCGCACTACATTACGCGCAACGTAATTAACGTTCGAACGTAATTCTTTGTTTATTTTAAACAAACGCTCGTTCTTGCGGACCATCTTGTGCAGACGTCGAGCGCGACCGTGCTCGAACAACGGCGAACGCTCCGTGAGAACGCCATCGGAACGAGATGAAATTATTTTTCTGAAGCGCAGGGTGGTTTGAATGAACTTACGCCGCCGCGTCGTCGTTTCGAAATGTGCAAGTATTCGTATTATTCATCCTACGCCCGACGTTTCGCGTCGTTCGAATGATGGCCCAAAAACTCGGTATGGTTGTCATCGAACAATAGTGGTGGCGGAGGTGACATCCATAGTGGTCTCGCTGTCACGGGCGACGGTGGTACCGTTATCGTGCTACAGAATCATAACATGGCGGCTGCTGGTTTCTTCTTCATCGGTTATTCCGACATCGTGGTGTGTCACGAGTGCGGACTCGTGTTGGGCCGTTGGCGAAAACGTCGTGACGACAAGTGATCCGAGCAACCGCCACCGTCACCAGAAACGGTTGCTTCCTTCGAGATAATCATCGCACCGCGCACAGAGCATTGATTTTGGCGCATGGATTGTCCGAATTTCTTTTACTACGAGTACAGCTGCACGAGCGTCCTCAATTCATCTTCGTTTGCGTCTTACGAGCCCGTCACGAGAATTATCAAACCGTGTCGAGATAGACTTCGAGTTTCTCGCACCTTCCTTGACGATTGTACGGCGGGCGCAAAACGTGACGCTGATACTTTGAAAGCTTTCGCCAAGTCCTGCGGCGATGTGATCGAACGCACCAAGAAAGTCATTGCGAGCGAATAAAAGATTACTGGATCGAATCAATGCCGACATTGAGACGGCGAGATTCGTTAGTTCGGATTCGGAACACACTTGCGTTCGAGAACGAGTTCGAGAATGAGTGAGCGAATTGCAGCGCGCGAACGATAATTTGACGGTGTTGAGATTCTACAACGACAACGGCAGCAGTGGAAGAAGCGACGGCGACGGAGGAGGAGAAACCGCCGCAGTCGACAATAGCTTCGACGTCGATGCGGACAACACCGAGGACCGCGAACGTTGCGTCGTTTGTTTAACGCGAGCTTCTAGCGTTCTTTATTTGCAGTGTCGTTATTTGAATTCCTGCGTGCCTTGTTCTAAGAAACTATCCATTTGTCCGGTTTGTCGAGCTCCTCTTTGGATGTGCGTGAAAATTCATCGTTGATACATCGAACGGAGAAAAGGAAACAACGCGAGCGAGGAAGGCGCGGCAGGCAGTTATCGTTCTCATGGCTCGCGATGACAATTGCTCGATTACTCATTCGAAACATCCGATAACGCAACACCGGTTTCTGCGCAACGACGACCGGATGTGGCGGGCTGGGAACGTTGGAGAGGAAACGGCGGTGGAAAGAAAGAGAAAAGAACGAACGTCGTATCGTCGGAAAAATTATAGTTTTTTTACAACGAAAAAAGGCGTGGCATGTACATAAATTTGTTTCCACAAGTGCTTTGCGCGCGCCGTCCCATCGCGAACGACGCATGCCCGCATTCATTTATCATTGCTTTGACATCAGAAGCGACAGCACGTGATCGCAATATAAATTCCGGAACGAGCGAAGAATAAGAAGGGCCGCGCGTCGCGGCAGCTCGACGGCACCAGGCCTCGATCGCGAAACGCCGCCGCTCGAGTCACGCGCGGCTGAGCAGATGCATAAAAATATTAACGATATTTTGAACGGCGGTTGAATCTTTAGGCGTCATGTATACTGATTTGTTTTTGAGTTAAAAAATATAACATCATGCAATGTTCGTTGTATCGTAATAATGTCCTTGTGTACGAAAGTGAATAATAATTATTAAAAATATTTGCATAGTTATAAATTGTCAATAATCATACCTTTGGTGAAAATACACCTAATACACCATTATAGGTTATTATTTCTGTCAATTTTACGCGAACTTAACATAAAATTCACAATTGTACACATTATCTATTGCTGTTTTAGATATTACTTGCTATATTGCTTCGTGAACAGGCCATGCGTGCCAGCAACAATTTTTTACGTAACAATTTCGAGTTATAACGAATTGTGGAATCTCTGTCACGATCATAGAGTCAACAGCTATTAATTCGCATGGTTACGTACAATCAAGAGGTTTATTTATCGATATTGGATTAATTGGTAATTTTTTATCACATAGTACGTGTTATCCCGGACCTGATATGGAAGAACGGCCGTGCGTCGTTCTCAATAGTACGTTCAGATTGCTCTGATCGTCTTGAGTCGAAAATGTTCTCTATGTGCAATATCGATCCGGATGTAATATACGCACAAAACGTTGCAAAGGTTTGATGTACGAGGGCAGTCCGATAAGTACTTAGCCTACAAAAGAAAAACGAAAATTTTGGAAAAGTGGCGATTTATTTCTCAACATAGTCTCCTTTTAGCTCGATACACTTGACTCAAATTTCTGCCCGGCAAGTGACTTTTTCAAGCTTGGAAACAAAAAAAGTCGCACGGGGCCAAATCTGGAGAATACGGTGGATGGGGCAGCAGTTCGTAGTCCAATTCGACCAATTTGGCCGAATGAGGAGGTCATCGCCGCCACGGAGGCCTACTTTGCAGACTTCGAGAAAACGTATTTTTCAGATGGGTTAAAGAAGTTGGAGCATCGCTGGGTCAAGTGTATCGAGCTAAAAGGA